ACACAACACTTATTAAACACGACATAGTACCACGCCAGAATCATTTACTTATAATTCTCAATGAGAATTGATTGTAATAAAATTTCAAATAAATTCCAAACAAAGAAAAGAAAAGAAAAATCTAATATATTACATACTTTTTGCTTGTGTACTGCATTAACGTATAATTGGAATATAAACTTTCAATCGTATATATCTTTCCCGCTATAATATCGAGACCTCAAAAAATGAACTCTTTACTGAAAATAAAAATAATTCAATTTCAATTCTGAAAACATCCTAACGAAGCAGGAGAAAAGGGAATAAATGAAATAAATATAAGGGAATGGTATCGATTTAGATGTAAAGTGTCCAATGAAAAGGGACGAACGTAACATGAATAGAATAACACGTAATAACTCGGCCGGCTATCGCCCAACGACAAGGATACGATTATCCGACCAATTATTACTAAATGAACATGCAAATCGGATTCACATCAACTCGTATTATGGCACACATACCCAGCGATTATACATGCTCCAATTCAGATAGCGCAGATCTGCATACGTAAATAGCAATTTTGATTTCGTTTCGCCGCGCGATTCAAACGATAAACGAGAAGTTTATAGAATCTTTGAAATTTTTTACATTAAAATTTATTCCACGTCTCCGTGAAAAGCATTCTTGAGAAAAAAGAAAGAAGAGAAATTGGTCTATCGAATTGTTAGCATGAAGTTTTAACCTTTTCCCACGAGGATTTTTCGCTTTTCCGAACGATTTCTCCGGCAATTGGCCTATCCAGCTCTAGTAAATAACCAATCTGTGTGTTCCACTTTGGAAACATGGTCGTTTCCAGAAGCATCAGCGATAGTTGCACGTCAAACTTGAAATCGACTCGTTCGTTGCATATTTTAGAATATTAGCACCGGTAAGAGAAAATTCTATTCAACACACTACATAATAGATAAAGACAGATATAATGTAATTTCAACAAATTTATTATTAGCGTTTTTTAATGCGACATTTTTCGGAAATGTTGTGCTGCTAAAGGTCAGCTAGCAACAAAACACCTTTCTGTCTTCCTCGTGAAATATGGAATAATAAATGAATAAATAATGTGACATATATTTGAAGTTCATATAATAACTAATACAATCACCATGATTTAAGAACGTTCTTTAAGCCTACTCGTAAAATAAAAAACGACGGAAGATTACATCCCAGTAGTTCGTACAAATCATAGATATTACATTCGTGAAAATGCAAATGTCGCTCTTTCGATTAAAATCCCTGTAGACCGAATCAATGGAGACCGGCGTAATATCTACCGTGTCAAACAGCGTTCAACGCGTGAAATCCTATCAGAATGGCGGCATCAGGATTTTACTTCAGGAACACGCGGAACCTTGGAAGGAGTAATTGTCACGATGAAAGGAAAAGCAGCGTTTTAACAGTTTAAGCATGAAAATCTTTTGTCCATAATTACACGAATATACTGAGATGAATAGATATTTGTTTAACAATTAGCCTGTAACGAATCGACATGAACTTTTACAGCTTATTAGACAGTGCGTGTTAGATTGTCCCAAAAGCTTTTCTTGTTTTATAAGGAAATAATAGAACCACAACATTTTTTCCTTTATTTATACTATATTATTTATATATATTACTTATATTTATATGTCGGAGTCAGGTTGGCATCTTGGGGCGTTCTATGAACCTTTACTTACTTTACCGTCGCGAATGTAGCTAATATTTATCAGTACGAATGTGGACATTACAAGAGGCTATGAGTAATGACAATAGGATGTTCGAGATGATGGTGACAACGAATTCAGGTTCGATAACGAATCCACGGTCCACGGGAGGACAAGTATCAACGTACTACTCGATTCGGGTAACTTCTCGACAACTCGATCAGTAATTCGTCCAACGACTAACTAACAAACTAACTCTCTCTTCATCCAAAAGAAACTGCCCTTATATACTCCTGTCCCCGCTTCTCGGGTCAATCTTTGTTTTTAAGGAGAGCCATCTAATCATTTCGTACCTCTGTCAGGTACACGTCCCTCCCGTGCCCGTGGCTACGTCTAGTGACCCGCTATGTTACTTCGAGCCCGAACCCATCGTCATAAAGTCAGATTGGAACATTAAAACTATTCCTTATTTTTATTACTTAAGTGCAGCTATAGTAAAAGTCTGGACTAGGGTATTGGGGTTTTTCCCAACATTCCGGACGGGAAATCCCGCTGTCCTTCCATCTCCGACATATATTATTTTATTGAATTGCATGTGATATATTGGAACAATGGAGCAAAATGGATCATACGTGATTCAATAAAATAATATAAAATAAAAAATGTTGTGCATCAAAGCGAAAGAATCTTTTGGGACAACCTAATATATTACTAATGTAGTATCGTAGACAAAAGGCCTAAGAGATATCGGGCCAACTGTAAACAATCTCGCGAGAAAGTCAAAGTGTCGACAGGTCCAACAATGTATCGTCGGTCCTTCGATCGAATAGTTTCGCGGGAAAGGTCTGCCTGACCGTGGCCACGAGCGTTTGCGGAACACGTGAGTGGTGGGGCTAGGACAAAAGACAAAGGGATGCTAAGGGACAAAAACGAATTAATAGTCAGTTTGAGTTGAGAAGCCAAAGAGTACGAATTGCGTTATCGAGATAGTGTTGGATCCGTAGTGACGAGAGTTGCAAATTTATCTAATCGTCTTAATTATAATACGTTATTGTGGTTAGTTCATATTAAATAACCATCGTTCCCTGTTTAATCAACATCTGTTTAATCCATTTATTTTAAATAAACTAATTGTAGTAATTTGTTTTTGTTTAACAAAATAATTATTATATTTTACTGTGCTTTTGCATCGCATCAGAGTACAAAACATTCAAAATTACTAAAAGCTGCAAAGAAGTTTGATTTATATTTTCTTAAATTTTCGTATCACATTTTTCACATTTTTTCACGTTTTTCACAAAAGTATCACATTTTTTGTGAAAGTCCATCTCTATTCTCGATTGTGAAATTTTTATTTATTTCGCAAATATAAAGAAAAGAAAGATTTTGAACGATCATTGTTATAATTGTAGTATCGTGGACGAAAAGCCTAAGAGATATCGGGCGAACCATGAACAATGTCGCGAGAGCCGAGGTACCGTCGGGCCCATCAATGTGTCATCGGTCTTTTCAAGTGCATAGTTTCGTAGAAAAGACCTACGTGACCCTGGCCACGAACGTCTGCAGAACACGTGTGCGGTGGGCCTAGGAGAGGACAATAGAATGCAGCAACAGGGAGTCGGGAAGCAGCGTGCGAGTCGAGAAGCAGCGTGCGAGTCGAGAAGCAGCGCTTGCGAGTGGCGTTACCGAGAGAGTGTTGATTGCGTTTTGTGAGAG